TTCGGCTGTCTTCTGGCAGGCTGGAATCCGTGGCGGTGTGATATGGTTTAGAGTATGAAGTCAAACGGTAAAACTGCAAAGAACAGGCACCGCTTGCAATTTAATGAAAAAATACTTTACTTTCAAAGTGTGAAGACTGCCTGTTGTACGGCCAAAATTGCTTCATATAGGAAACTTAAATTGCCTTTAACCACGGGAGACGCATCTTAATGCATAGGTGAAAGCTGCTTTTAACGTTAGAGTTCTGAGAGCTTGGGAGTTACCATTGTTGGATCTGATGTGGTTTTTTCCTTTGCGTCCCTTACTGTTGCTTATTTTCAGAAGTGTGTACTGTGCAAATAGCACAGCTAAGTTAGCTGTAGCAGTTTCATGTGTGCAATTTCACAGGCTTCACGGGAGCCCCTTTTGTTTTTTTGCTGTCTCCTGGCTGGGAGAGTTTGGGAGCTGCTGTAGGTTTATATCCCTCAATCGAAGGAAAGAAGTTGCTCTGTTAATCGCTCTGTCTTTCTCTGGGCCTGGTCCCAGACGGGTACTTGCAGGAAGGTTTCTATAGGAACCAGAGGCAGGAAAAACCTGCCCACCAGGTTCAGGGCTCTAATGGCAGGCAGTAGGCAGAGGAGTGATCTCCAGCCAGGCAGAGGCCGGTGTGCAATGACGTGGACGCAGAAAGGTGTTCCCTGCCGCTGCTGGGACAAAGAGGGACTTTGGGCCGCAGCTCTCTCCTGCGCTGCTTCCTCATCACCGTGGTTAATTCTCTTCCTCCAGGGTCTTTTCTTACCTAGGTGCCTAACACACTGTCCAGGCTCCTCAGAAGCAGGTTGGTTCAGCCGCGAGTGCCCATGCGGTGAAGGTTAAAAACGACCAAGGGGGATCCCTTCTCGCATGCTTGAGGCACTGGACACAGGTTCAGAGCCCAGGTAATAAGAAGCGTGGCAGAAACCCCACATGGCTGAAACAGCGACTGTGTTCCTAATGAAAGTCATTGGGAACGAGGTTAACTGGGCTGAAAGAGGGCAGGAGAGGGGACATGTTGGCAAGCCCAGAAGCAGAGCAGCTGTGGTTGCAGGGCAGCAATAAGCCTGGAAAAAAAAGCACCAAAATTTATTCCCCTTTCAACACCACTCTGAATATATGTTGCCAGCAGATTTACCAGCTTGGTGTGCGTGCTGTATGTGTTCCTGTGTAAAATGAGGTGCAGGTGCTCATTTTGTAATTCTTGTTACCTCTTCAGCTACTGAGGGGAAAGTTGATGCTAAGAGAACAAGTCGGGTAGAGCGATGGGAAGGGTAGAAGAGCATTTACAGAACTTAGGGGTAAGCAACTGGCTGTTGTGTGGACAAGGTTACTTCTCAGAAACAAAAGCTGAACTTTTTCTTGTTTGTTTGGGATTTTTGCCCTGAGAGTTGGTGTCAGGAGATCAGAGTCTCCGCTCATCCATGCCAGCCTTTCTCCTGCAGCGAACTGTTTAATTTTGGGAGGAAGAAGCCTTATCATTTGTGTTCACAGGCACAGGTGCTTTGTATGCTTCTGCAGTGTTTCACTGCTGCTTATCTTGGAGTGCTGTAGCAAGCCACTTCAGGCTGCCAGTGCTTGCTGGCAAACTCACTGAGATGCAAAGGCAAGGAGTGGCATTGTAACCTTGTACTGCTGAGCACTATAAACAACTCAGGTCCTGCTGGATGAATCTCTGGAGTTCCTTCTTTTAGTGGTTTGCAGTCATAAGTAGCTTTACTGGAAAAGGGAAGCTGGAAAACCCATCCCAGATGTGCAAATGTTAGTTTCTCCCAGGTTCTTTCCCAAGTAAGTGTGAGTGACTGATACATCCCAGCACTGGCTTTATCTGCTTGGTAGAGGTGGCTCTTGCTACCTCCCACACACAGAGTTACAAGGTTGATCTTAAAGTCCAGAATCTCTCCCTGATTACTGAACTATTCCATCAGTGTCCTGGAAAAGCCCTATAAAAATCTGCTCTGAACTAGTATCAGGAAAGTTAGGAGAGGGGCTCTGCGGGCTGCTTCATCTTCTGAGCTCTGTCGCCTGGTTTAGTTTAGAGGAGCCTGGCTCATTGCAGAAGCACTCAATAGCACATTGTCCACATCCTAGCCCAGTTCAGCACAGAAAATCCTTGTCAGAAGCCTTCCCAGCTCCCTTCAGGGAGGTTTATTCCACAGCCTAATACACTTTGCTCCTGTGGTTTGTGATGCTACTTCTAAAATCGCTTTCAGGCTTATTGCATCTAATGATGCATCTAATGATGGAATGAACCCTTAAACCCTTTTCACCATTTCAGTCTCTTCTCCATGGGCAGTGTATTCAGAGAATAATGATGTGTGGTGTGGTTTTTTTAGTATTCATAGTTAAATACAGGATTCACAATATGTGATTGAAAAGGTGATGAAAGTTGCCTTGGTTTTTGACATTCTTTCAATCAGCAATGCTGGTACTGTCACAGGGAATTTGGTAAATGACAATGTGCTGTTTTTAGCTGGTGGGTAGATGTGAAACCAAGAGGAAATTCCAGTCTCTAGTACTTAATTTTCCTGTGGGGAAGCTTAAATTCTAAGGGATTTTATTTTCTTGTGGGGAAGTTTTGTGTGAGGGATCTGTCTGTCCCTGACCATGCTCTTAGATGCTAATTGAATTCTCTCTTCACCATTTTTTTTTCTTTTTATAACAGGATAGTGACCTCTAACCTCTGAAAACAGCATTTCTGGACCTGCAGACAGCCTCTGCTACTCGACCTTACCTAGCGCAATGTCAGGTGAGCACACAAAAATGGACACGGCATCTTCTTGTTTGGTTCTTTGTTCTTTCTGCAGCTGCAACTTAGTAAAAGGAAGTTATTGGTTCCAAGAGCCATTCTTTACCTTAACATACTGTTTGCTCAAACTGAGGGAGAGGAAACCACCCCACTCTTTGTGACCCAGCTGCTGGGGTCAGTGCCTCTGTAGGATGCATTTACTTCTCCATAATCATTTTTTTAGTAATGGTTTCTCTAGCTTGGCACTGACCACACAGCTTTTCCAAGCAGAAAACCACATGATGCCATGGAACTATTTGTCTTCTCTAAAAGTCTCTTTCTTAGAGGGAGCTCCATTTGGCCTTTCTGCTTCTTTTGCTCAGTAAGAGTTGGGGTTGCTCAGCCTGGAAAAGAGAAGAGAAGGCTCTGTGGAGACTTTATAGTGGCTCTCCAGTACCTGAAGGGGGCCTACAGGAAAGATGAGAAGGGACTTCTTACAAGGGCACATAGTGATAGGATGAGGGGTAATGGTTTCAAATTGGAAGAGGGTAGATTTAGACTGGATATTAGGAAGAAATTCTTTACTGTGAAGGTGGTGAGACACTGGCACAGGTTGCCCAGGGAAGTGGTGGATGCCCCCTCCCTGGAAGTGTTCAAGGCCAGGTTGGACAACCTGGTCTGGTGGGAGGTGTCCCTGCTCATGACTGGGGAGTTGGACCAGATGATCTTAAAGGTCCCTTCCAACCCAAACTATCCTATGTTTCTACTAAATTACTTGCTCCCCTGGTGAAGTGTGAGCTGCCTCAATGTCCAGAGTAGCAGTAGTGACAAACTGCTGAGTGAGTCCTTCCCTTGCTGGAACAGTCTGTATCAAGTGTGCATCTTCCAAGGAAATCGTTCCAGGTTTTCACTGCTCTGTGTTGTTCTCTTTCTGCTTAGGCCATCACACTCCCTCTGCCGGGGGTCCTTTCTCAGCACTCACTCCCAGCATTTGGCCGCAGGAGATCCTGGCAAAATACACACAGGTATGGTGTGAGGCAGGGAGGGGGTGTTCTCTGGCTCCGTACAGAACCAAAGGGACCCTGGTGATTTCTGGTGGTCTCTGAAAGCTACAGGGAAAAGGTGGGAGAGGTGCACTTTTCCTCCGGTGGTTTGGGTGTGGATGCTTGTTTGCTGCTTAAACTTCATGTGTTTTGTGGCGGCATCGTGGCTTTTGCAAGAGGATCTTGCAGAGCACAGAGAAACGTGTGTGAATTGTTGCCCTGCTGTTTGGCAACTATTGCCCCACTGTAAAAATGTAGACACCCTCAGGGGAGTCTCTGTCACTATCGAGGTACGCTGGATGGCTTCTGCATGGCAGGAAATGCTGGCCTCGAGACTTGCCACCAGGTGGGCAGAGCAGGAAGGAAGGAAGCAGCCATGGAATTTCGTAACTTGCCCACCGTGGTTTGCCGAAGCCAGCGAAGCAGATTAAAGCTTATTGCAGAGCTATGCTAGAAGCACACTTCCTGGGTGCTCCCTGGGTGTAGTGCTTGTGAGAGACCCCACAGGAGGGGCAGGTGGGCTTGCAGAAAAGGGCAGCTATCTGTAGGTTTTCACTCCTTAAAAAGGCCTGGTTGTAGCCTTCAGGGTGTTATCCCTCAATGCCAACTGTGATCACAGATGGGGAAAGTCAAGATTTGGGTCATAGACTTTAATTTCCTTTGGCCTATAATTTCAGCTTGCTTCACAGGTGCAAATACCAGTTTTGCATGCAGTCTTTCAGAGCAAATCTGAAAGCAGCAGGCAGGAGTTAGAGCAATGTGGGGAGCTGAATTTGCAGTGTGTGTGCAGAAGTAACAGAGAACTGCTCTCTGTTGGAGATGCAGACAGTAGAGACCACTTTAGCTGGTGTGTGTGGATACCTCAGTCTATGAGGAGGACTGCTTCCAGGCGGGAAGTTCTGACCTTGATATGGTGCTGTGTTCAAGTGCTGCTGGAAAAGGGATTGCTGGGTAGGTCTTTGCAGGTGGGCGAGCAGGGCTTCAGAAGTTCCATGGACAAGTCAAAATGGGAGTTGCATGCAACACCTCCCCAGCTGGGGACTGTTGGGGGAGACATAAAAAAATAAAAGGGCTGGGGGTCTAGTTGCTCAGAGTGCAAGCAGTGGTGGGATGGGGCAATATCCACATGTCTCTATTCAGTTGTTCAAGCCTGGTGACGGTGTCTGTTCGCCCTCCCCAGAAAGAAGAATCCATCGAGCAGCCGGAGTTCCACTACGATGAATTTGGTTTCCGAGTTGATAAGGAAGGTAAAGGCAGTCCCATCCCTAACCCTTCCACTGGTCCTGGGTCCAGCCCTTCCCATGCTTCTGAGTGATTTTCCAACCATTCTGTGCTGGGTCTTATCTACCCACCCACCATCATCTTTCTGTATCCTACCCTTGTAATCAAGGGCCATGCATTAGATGTCCTGGCCTTAGGGGAGTCTGGAGCATGGAATATGCAGCAGAGTCATTTCTATTCCCTTATGCTTGTGCTGGGAATAAGAGAGAGAGGGGAGTTAAGAGGAAGTTATTTCCACTAGGGGCTGTCCCAGGTGACAGTGGAGTCGCTGTCATGGTCAGTAGCACTGTAAGCTGATCATAGAGAATCCTCTTTGAAGCAATGACCTGGAGATGAGGACAGGACACAGCAATTTTCTTCAGCCAGAACATTTGTTACACTTGTGCCTTACAAAATCAGCAGAAGGATTTGGATTGCATTGTTGGGTTGTGTTACATGAAGGACAGAGTTGCTTACGTCAAACCTGTATTTTGCTAAAATATCTATTTTAGGCGGCCAGCCTCAGGTTAAGGTGCAAGCTTATTGTGAATTTGAAATTGTCCCTATGAAAGCTGCTTCTTGGTGATTAAATATCCCCAAAGTTAATATTTTGCACCTCATTACTGGCATGAGCATATAGCTTCTGCTTGCCACCTCTGAGGCTTGCTATGCTTTTGTCAGCCTGATTTACAGATCCTTACAAAACCCAGCAGGATGGCTGCTGCTGGGGTCTTGTTTAATTCCAACCACACTCTGCTCTAAATCATGACTAAGTAGAGCCTGCTGACAACTTCTTCGTTCTCAAGGCCCCAGTGCCTTTTGCTTATGACCATAAAATTTACTGCATGGAACCATGCTTTGCCTTTCCATGCTGTGGCTGGAAGTCACAAATATTTTAAATATTCTTTCTTCAGATGACCACCCCCTTCCCCACCCCACTCTGTATTCATTCCTTCTCCTCTTCCCTCTCTCACTTGTCTCCATTTCTTTCCCTTCCTTTTGCTGAGGCAGATGGTGCTGAGCCAAACTCCAGCAAGCTCCTGGGAATCCCACTGACAGAGGAGCCACAGCAGAGGCTCAAGTGGCAGGCTCACCTGGAATTCACACACAACCATGACGTGGGTGACCTCACTTGGGACAAAATTGACGTCACCCTACCGCATTCAGACAAGCTGCGCTCCCTGGTGCTAGCTGGCATCCCGCACAGCATGAGGCCACAGGTGAGAGACAGCAAAGCAGGACCACTTTATCTGGGTTGTGACAGTGCCAGATTATGACTTTCTGTAGCTGTCTTAGTGACTCTTCCTGTCTCTGTTCACCCTGTTCCCTCCAGCTGTGGATGCGCCTGTCAGGGGCCTTGCAGAAGAAAAGAAATTCAGAGATGTCGTATCGCGATATTGTGAAAAACAGCTCAAACGATGAAACCATTGCTGCTAAACAGGTAGGAGACGCTGCCTAGTGCTGACTGGGCACATGGGAGTGGGGAGAAGAACAAGTTTTGCTACGTGAGGAGGAAGGGGTGTCTTCCTGACACTGGCAGCAGGGACAGTTGAGAGGACATGTGTGGTTGAATCCTCCTAAAGCTTCATCCTGTTGGACGTATTTCTGCTCTGTTCTGTTGGAATAACAACTGTGCAGCTCCCCTCCTTCCTAGCACAGCAGGGAAAGGGTCTGACCCATGCTACCTGCAGGCTAGAAAACAGTGCTGCAGTTCATCTCAGCAAACATCCTGATAATCATTGAGAGAAGTGAAGAGTGAAAGTCTGATGGATGCACCTCTGTTGAGGTAGTGGCAGCTGCTTCCAAGGACTGCCTTTGTTGCCCCAAACACAGTCTCTCAAGTCCAACAGGACTGTTACAGGGTATTTTTCCTCTTCCTCTGACCTCTCCTTTTGTGGGAGGAGTCACAGGCCATGCCAAAAAAAAGTGAGCTCTGCACATGTTCACCTCTCATCAAGAAGCTAGGTTCAAAATGCTTGGAAAGAGGAACAACACTGCCCAGAGGAGATGTGTGGGCTGTTCACCTCCAAGTCCTCTGTCACAGATGTGGCCTGGTTGTTGGTTTCTCTCTGGAATAGGCCTGTTGGGAAGCCTTCCTTGAAATCCAAGCAGAAGAAATTCCCCACCAGCATGGCTGCTATTCTCAGTGGTGAAGCTAGGGTCTGAGTTTAGGCAAGTATTTCTTGGGAGATGCCAAGTAATGATCTGCACTGGCATTTTTCCATGTCAGTGAAGCCTGTCAAACTGACCCCAGGTGCTTGGACAAGGCCATCTTCTTGGGTGCCTAAGAACTTATGGATGGGTGTAGGGAAGCAGAGCCCCCCAAGGCAAGGGACTATGGGAAAGTGCAGAGAGCAGAAGACAATTGCTCAGGTGGTGCCAGCTGACCCTGTCCTTGTTTATGGCTGTCTGGCAGATTGAAAAGGACTTGCTCCGCACGATGCCCAGCAACGCCTGCTTCTCCAACATGAACAGTATCGGGGTGCCACGGCTACGCAGGATACTACGGGGACTTGCCTGGCTGTACCCAGACATTGGATATTGCCAAGGGACTGGAATGGTAACCTGCTTTCAGAGTGTCTTTATGATAGGGGTCACTTTATGGTGGCTATGCTGGGGTAAGTGATTTGAGGCAGTGCTGCCAGACACTGTGGCCTCCAGATGAGCTGAAGGGAAATCCCTTCCACAGGGAACATTTTTCCTAGGGAAGGGAGAGCAAAGTAGCACCACATTTACAAAGATGTGGAAGAATTCAGTCCATCTGTTGGGGAGGGACAGGCTGAGGACACTGAGGAGAAACCCCTTCAGTGGGAGGCTGCAGGAGAGCTGCTGCAGCAGAAGGCAGCTGTTGATCACCTAGACACTGGTCCATCTCTCCCTGTGAGGAAGTGGGGAAAGGGTTCTGTGCCTTTTAGGGCATGCAGTAGTTCTTCTTTCAAAATCCTAGGTGGCTGCCTCTCTGCTGCTCTTCTTGGAGGAGGAAGATGCCTTTTGGATGATGTGTGCTATCATTGAAGAACTGGTTCCTGCCTCCTACTTCAGCACCACCCTGATGGGCGTGCAGACCGACCAACGCGTCCTGCGGCAGCTCATCGTGCAGTACCTGCCCCGCCTGGACAAGCTGCTCCAGGAGCATGACATCGGTAAAAGCTTGCCCTAGAAACCGTAGCTTTTCTTGTCAGGGTGACATGCAGACAAAAATTATTGCTGTTGTTTCACAAAGGGAAAGCAGCAGGGCTAGGAGCAAACCTCCTGGCAATGGAAGCAATGCATGGTCATCTTTAAGCTGGGAGGAGAGCGCTTAGGAGAGTCCATCTTCAGTAGCTGACTGACTTGTGCTGCTGTGATTCTTTTTCATGTCTCTATTCACAGAGCTCTCCTTGATCACCTTGCACTGGTTCCTCACCTCTTTTGCTAGTGTTGTCCACATCAAGCTGCTGCTGCGTATTTGGGACCTCTTCTTCTATCAGGGCTCTCTGGTGCTGTTCCAGCTCACTTTGGGCATGCTCAGTATGAAGGTAATTCCCACCTCCTCTTCCTCCTTTATAGCACTTCAGTGCTAAATTGTGATTTAAGAGGCAAGAAGGCTTTTTAAATCCACTTCCTGTACGTGGTTTGGGAGTGTGCTAGGGAAGATGGCTCCCTGCCTTCTTCAGTACTGGAGGCAATGAAAAACTTCCAGGGCATTTTGCAAGAATGAGAGATTTCTGTTTCCCCTGCCTACCTCTTTTCATCTCTGTGCTGGTTTTTAGCTGGGATAGAGTTAATTTTCCTCATAGCAGCTAGTCTGAGACTATGTTTTGGATTTGTGCTGAGAATAATACGATAACGCAGCAATGTTTACATTAAGCCAAAGACTTTCTTCAGTTTCTCATTCTGTCCCTCTCCTTCCAGCTTTTCTGAAAGAAGCTGGGAGGACACACAGCCGGGACAGCTGACTCAAACTGATCAAAGAGATTTTTCATGCCATTAGATGACATATTTAATATATGAAGTGGGGGGAAGTTAGCTGCAGAGCATGATTGCTACCTGGAGACTGGCTGGGTGTTGATGGGTGGGTGGTGAGCGGTTGCATCACTTGGGTTTTTTCTTGGCACTATTCTCTCTTGCTATTTTATTGTATTTATTATAATTACAATTTGTTGTTGTTACTACTTTATTTTAGTTTCATTTCAATCCTTGAACTGTTTTTGTCTCAACCCATGAGTTTTCTTATCTTTTTCCTCCAATTCTCTCCCTCATCCCACTGGAAGGGAGCATGTGGCTGCGTGTTGCTTAACCACACTGGCTGGGTTAAACCATGACACCACCTCATAAATTAAACCCCATCAGCTGACTCCCTTTATTCACTGTAGACCCCATCTTGGGGGCCCATCTTACCTAAACCAAGATACCTCTTGATTTTGCACCACTCTATGAGCAGAGATACAAAGCCGAGGTCACAGCCATCTGGGAAGCTTTTGATGACACTGTTGAACACTCCAAGAGATTACCGTTGTCTCACTGCATTTGATTTGGCTGGCTTGCATTTAACAAGCCTGAGCTTTTCCTTGTTAGGCAAAAAATAATTCTGTAGTTCATCTTGCTGTGTGAAGAGCAAGGGTGAGCCTGCTGGGAGTACGGGGAAGGTGGAGCACAATTTGACGTGGTAGGTGCTCTGTAGTGTGTGACTGAGCAGCTTCTACCTCGTCCCCAGCAAGATTGTGCCCAGTCCTGATGGTGGGTGCAGAATAGCTTCCGTTTTGTCTTTCTGTGCTGATTTGACTTTATTTCAATGATGAATGCTGTAATTCAGAACCATGCCAGCTAGAATTCTAGGAGGGGGAGGTTTTGGTGCAGTAGAGCAGTAAAGGATGCTACTCCCTTCCCAAAGGTAGCTTGGACTTTTCCTGCTGAAGATTTTTTAATGGAATTTTATGGAATGTAATTGTACCTGTCCAGGCTGCACACTGAATGTAAAATTGCACCTAGCAGCCCCCAGAGCATAGCTGTTACGCTCCCTGTTCTGTGTGGCAAAATTACTGCGTCATTGCAGGAGGATGAGCTGATTCAGTCTGAGAACTCTGCCTCAATCTTCAACACGCTCTCGGACATCCCAAGCCAGATTGACGATGCAGATGTGCTGCTGCAGGAGGCCATGCGTGTGGCTGGCTCGCTGACAGATGTGGCAGTGGAGACCCAGCGTCGCAAGCACTTGGCCTACCTCATTGCTGACCAAGGGCAGCTGCTCAATTCCAGCACCACTGTCAACAATTTATCCAAAGTGAGTTCACAGAGTCCCACCTGCCTCTGCTGCTCCGTTTTTACCATTCCCTTACATGTTCCCTCCCAATTTGCTGCTTGTGAGCAAGAGATCCTCCTGTCTGAGAGGATTTTGGCTCCAGGCTGACTGTCATCCAGTGGAGAAACAGTATTGGGAAGTGAGTGGGAGGTCTGTACTGCTCAAATGCTGCTGGATCTGTCCTGGATGATAAATCTCCAGGTGAAAGGGATATTGACATTGATTATAATTATCATTAATGAGAGTTATGATGGAAAACGTGTTTTATTAATGGAAACTAAAATAAACAACAGATGGTTTTGGCAGAATTTGCTTGGAGCATGCAGAGTAGGAACTGGAGTTAATCCATTAGTAAGAAAACTGATACACTAAAATAACTCTGGAAGGTAGAGTCATAAAACAGCAGCAGCCTTTGAGGAGCTGAAGAAAAAATTTGCCCATGTTTAATCTTGGATTACAGTCTGCAGTTGCAGATGGAGTAGCTCCTGTTTGCAAAGCCTGTGTGGAAGATATGTTCTTGATGCTCGTCCGTGTGCTAATCACAAAATAGTCCTACAATTCCAAAATGCAATAGGAATGCACTTGGAAACGTATATATAATTAAATGTAGAACTGCTATTGGCAACAAGTTGAATTAGGACTAAAATTATTTACTCAAATCATGGTTGATTCTCGAACTTCAGTTATGCTTTCATAATAATTGAGCTATAAATAACCCAATGCACATGGAGCAGATCAAGCAGTAGAGCTGATTCAATGCATTAGAACTGGAACAACTCCTGTCTAAAATTGCCAGTTCACTTGTCTGCCCCTTCCAGTGGTAGCTGTCAGGACCCCTTGCCTAGAGCTGATCTGTGTGGAAAATTCCTTTGTTTAATTTCTGACGTCTGTCCTAATGTGTGCACTTTGCACTCTCTCTTCCACCTCTCTCAGATTGTGCGGCGGAGGACTCAGCGCAGGAAATCTGGCATCACCTCTCTGCTTTTCGGTAAGAACAGTCCTGTGCCTTTCATGTGGTGCTGATGGGTATAGTGGCCTAGGAAGGAGGGGAGTGAGCAGAGCAGGGAACAGTGGGACAGAGGAAGACGAGAGCAGGGAGCCAGAACTGAAGGATGAGAGGGAAGAAGTGCAGTTTTCTACTTGCTTGCTTTGGTCTGAGCTCAGAAAGTGAATTTTAGGTTAGCTGGTTAGTCCTTAAAGAGTGACTAACAACAGGCTGTGACTCAGCCCAGCTGTAATGCCCTTCTTGCACTGACCAATGGCTCAAACACATTTTCTGGCAGACTGTATCCAGTCCACAGGCTGGGTGTTGGACTCTCCTGATCTTCCTCTGCTCGGTTCAGGAACATCTCTGAAGATCTGTGACAGGGCAGGGTGGTCCAGTGTGTCACTCATCAAAATTTGTAAATGCAGACATCACTGATGTTCCCCTTTACTCTGAGAGTTCATTGTGAACGCTTTTAAGTCTTAATTTTCTTTGCTTGTGAGCTGAGCCAGTGTATGTCCAGAAGGCACACAGCCAGAATAGGTTTTGCATGGGTTTAACAAGATCTTGCTTCTGTGACTCCATAATAGCTCTTTCTATTGTAAGCCTTGCTGTCATCACCTTCCTTGCAACTGGTTAGCTTTCTTCAGATTGCCACATCTCACCACAGAAATTGTTTTTCCGGAGGAAGACAACATCCTGAATTTACAGGGTTCAAATAGTGGTTCCTATTGTGGTTTAAATGGCCCGAGTAAATAAAAAACTGGGTTTTACTGGTCTTTTTAGAGAGAATAGCTTTTCTGATGTTCTCCAGGAAGCTGATATATTGTCACAGGCTTGCTGCAAGCACATACAGCATTGCATATAAAAGTTATGGTAGAAGACCAATGAGGCTGTGAAGTCAAGCGTGCAGAAGTGAAGAAATGCAGGAAAGCTGCTTGTGCAACCTAAGTTCAGAGCTCTTGTGTGTAATGTTATCACACAGTCAGCACAGACTGAACTTAGCTGCCCAGTGCATCGTTGTTGTGTCTCAGGAAGTCTCCTTGACCAAGTTTGAGTAGCTTCATAAAAGTGATAGTGAGTGATACCCACACACAAAGATAAATTTTAAGTTCAAGCTTCAAAATGTGTCAATGGGAGAACTGAGGTGACTGTGATTTCTCTAGTAGGGTTTCTGTACAGTGGCTGTCATGGTTTTTACCTAATATTCTTAGTAATTAAAACATTGGTTAAAGTAGAGAAGTTGTCATCCTGCAGCAAATGGCCAGAATGGAAAATTGCAGCCCCAGTGAGGGGAAGGAAGGCTTGGATATGATAAATTCACTTTATACCAGGAACTGTCAAACAACCTTAACTGCCAAGTTTGCTTCCTGTAGTAGCTACTGTGTCAAGCCCTTGCCTGGCTGGAAGTAAGAACTTACCCAGAATTTACTACTTCTTCCTTAGAGTGAAGGCAGATTTAACAGTGACTTGGACAGGGGTTGCAGAATCACAGGAGCACCGTTCAGAAGGGATCTCTAAATGTCTGTAGTCCAGCCTCTTCTGCTCAAAGCCCAGACTCTTGCTCATGCTAGGTCAGGTCAGCCAGGATGCTCTGTAGCTGAGATTCAAGGAGCTGGACCAGATTTTTAGTGAAAGAATAGAGAGAAGGGACAACGAAAAATAGTTTGGTGGAGAGCAAGATGTGCATGTTGCCCTTTTCCTGTTGGATGGGCATTGCAACACAGAAATGCAGGAGAGTCAGCCCTCCTCTGCACAGCTGTGCAGCTAAGTCAGTCTTTGCAGGCTCAAAATAGAGCTGCCTCACACGGGGCCAATCCTGCACTCATTTCCTGTTTTGGAAACATACGTGCAGATGTGTTGGGTGCAGTGAGGTGAATCTGGTGGAAACCCCAGTTGCTTTCCTCTGTATCCTGTATATACCGAGGTGGGAGAGTGTGGAACTTGCTTCCCATATCTCCTGCTCATGTTTGGGTGAGATTGATCTGAGTACAGAGGGACTAGCCCAGTATTTTGGCCAGAAGGGACTGAATGGTGACAGAAGGAATCGGGGATCTATGTAAACGAGGGCAGCCCACGGAGCATGTGTGGCTGTGGCTGAGCAGTTTCTTCTTTAGTCACACTCTGTTTTAGTAGCGTGAATTTTCTGGGAAACCCCACCATCTGCGTGGTCACCTCTCTATTTACAGTCTTTGTGTCTCTGTATTAAGACTTCTTACGTGCTCTGTTTCCTACCCCTGGTCACTGAGGAGGAGGTTTTGTTAATTTTCATTGCTTGGACTGGCAGTAAGTGTGCCCTACAATGTTTCTAGTCCAGAAGCAAAGTTCAGTTTTCTCTGAAGCTCTGTGTGTCTGATTTTCTAATAACTTAATTTAGCAAATAGAAAACAATTATTAAAATAATTTTAAATCTAACTTTGTGCTTCTATTTCTGTTCTTTAAGTTTTAGCCTTTTAAATTAGGGTCATTTGGGATTAAAAGATACTGTTAATCACTTCGATAAGCAGAAGCTTGATGTGTACATAGTTGTTGCAGCAGCTGTAGAGCTCGGGCCACGCTTTGTTCATACTGGTTTCTATAATGGTGTTAGAAGATAAGCAGAGTACTAATTTGCTAGCCAATGATTTACCTGGCTCTGGCATAAAAGCTGTGTTTGTGTAAAGTTGGAGTTCAGTGAAAAATACATTGTTTTAAATGGTGATTTTGCTAATCAGGCTATCACATCTTCAGTATATTACGGAGAGAGCAAAAACAAGTGTATGCAAATACACTTTGAATTTAAAACTGATTTTTTTAGAAAAAGAAGCAAATAGTTCATTGTTCCCAATCATCATGTACTCAATTTTTAAGGCATTCAGATACGTTAACTGCCTAAAGAATCCATCGCATTAGGTATCTCTCTGCATAAATTAAAAGAGAGAGGCTGTCAGAACTCCTGGGAGAATTAGTGGCAGTTGAAAGATGCTTTGGTAAATTTTACTTTGTGCTTATGACCATTTCTGTACGCCCAAAACCTTTGAAATCTGGCTCTTATGGTGGTTGAGGTCTTAAGTAGATGGTGGCTTTTCTCTTGTGGCTCTGACTTCTAGACTGACACAGCAGAGTGGCCTGTCTTGGTTTTTCAAATCTTTTTCGAGACTGGGTGAAGGACACGCTCTCAGCCTGTGAGATATGCAAAAATCAGAAGTCCTCTCGTTTTGTGTTCCACCATTCAGCTGTCTCTGCACTGCGTAGACATTTCTCTAGAGCAGTACACAGTACCTTGGTGTACTGAGTAGTCCAGACAGATCAAAGATGTCATCTTACAGCTCCATATGTGCTTTGAAATACCAGCTCCTTAAAATTCAGACAGTCAAATTGGTATTGGATATTTACATTATTGAATAGATGGGCAGTCAGTACCTGCCTTAGTGTAGGCACTTGTAATGTCAGGCTATTTTTTGATTTCTGTAGAATCAAATGATTTCTAATGTTAACAAAACAATAAATACCTCATACTCATTTTTCCTTCCTCGCCTTCCCTCTGGCTATGTGGGCTCCCCCAGGGGATGACGATTTGGAGGCCCTGAAGGCCAAGAACATCAAGCAGACGGAGCTGGTGGCCGACCTGCGTGAGGCCATTCTCCAGGTGGCGCGGCACTTCCAGTGTGTGGATCCCAAGAACTGCAGCATTGTGAGTGGGAGCAGCTGGAGCTGCACTGCTGTGTGCTCCGTCCATGAACATTGTGCATCCTTCACAGGCCAGGGCTGTTCAAATGCCCCTGGAGTACGTGGGCTGGAGGAGGAACGTGCCAGGTGTCGTGGGTGGAGGGTGAAGGTTGCTCAACCCATCCCTGGTGGAGGAGGGCTGCGCTGGGAGGTTGCCTGCCTTCTAGAAGCAGGAAAAGGTTTGGGAACCAGGGGCATGCAAGCTTTGGTAGATCAGCAGGGAGTCAGCTGCTGCTTTTCATTCCTCTTCATCCACATGCACGCTAGGATCTCACTCCAGACTACAGCATGGAGAGCCACCAGCGAGACCACGAGAACTACGTGGCCTGTTCCCGCAACCGACGACGACGAGCCAAGGCACTGCTGGACTTTGAGCGCCACGATGACGATGAGCTGGGCTTCCGCAAGAACGACATCATTACGGTGCGTCAGCCTACGGGACAGGGACCAGAGCAACACGATGGGGACCCAACTTGCTTGGGACACTGCACTGCCTCTTCTGCAGGGAAAGCAGTGGGGAGATCAGCTCAGAGCCCAGTTAGGAGCCCAAGGGAAGCAGCTGGTGTTTCTAGGAGCTGAGGCAGCACCCTTCTTGGTGAGACACTGGCACAGGTTGCCCAGGGAAGTTGTGGATGCCCCCTCCATGGAAGTGTTCAAGGCCAGGTTGGACAGGGCTTTGAGCAGCCTGGTCTGGTGGGAGGTGTCCTTGCCCTTGACAGCGGGGTTGGACCAAGTGATCTTTAGGGTCTCTTCCAACCCAAACCATCCTATGATTCTGTGAGGTAATGTGCTTCTGTGAGTGCTGGGTCATTTTCAAGGCAACCACAAAGTCCCTTTCCTGGCTCCCACACAGCTGAGCGGATTGATTTGGTCCAACCTAGATCCTGATTTAACACTACACATTAGGCTGTGGTAAGACTGTAAACACATCTCTTTGTGTCTTAGCTGTGGGCATCCCATCTGAAATTGAGAAAACAGAGGTAGCGTTGTGTTTGCAGTAGCTTTTTGCCCTTGAAGGCTCTAGGCCCTGTGAGAAGAGAACATTGGCAAAACAGCTGAGAAGAAAGCAGTTTTTCATGCCTGTGCACAGGCAGCTGTCACTCTCCTGGCACTGCACTCTCTTCAACTAGCATTTTCCACTCCCTGTTTTTCAGATCATTTCCCAGAAGGATGAGCACTGTTGGGTGGGAGAGCTGAATGGACTGAGAGGTGAGAGCAGCATGGGTTGCACTGGAGGAGTGGGGCTGGATGAGGAGCATCCATTCATCCGCAGCAACTGCTCTAGCACGTTTGCAGCAAAGGCTTTTCCAATTACCCAGAGCATCTGCCAGGAACAAGGGAAATGTTAAAGGAGGCTATGGGAGCAGTGGTTACTGGTTACTACTTGGTAACTACCCGGTTACTTCTTGCAAACAGCAAATTTAGGCTCCATCCTCCTTGGCACAGGGTGGTTGGGTGCATGTCATCTCTGCTGCTGGTGGGCAGTGTCCTGTAATTGGCTTCCTCTTGCAGTTGCCTTAATTCTTGTGATTTTTGGGGCGGCTCGCTTCCTGCTTTGAGGTCAAACCCTGTGAACTCTTGATTTATTCTCAGCTTCCAATAGACTTGTCTGTGTTAGAGGTTTCTCAGTGTCACGCTCGCTTCTTTATCTATTCTTTATAGGTTGGTTTCCTGCAAAATTTGTGGAGATCTTGGATGAGCGGAGCAAAGAGGTAATTAAAAACAACTAAACACAACAATAACATAGAAAAGCCCAGCATAAAAAAAAAAAGTCATGCCATAGCTGGAAAGAGCCATATATTTCCCTTCTTGAGTCTGTTTCCTCTCTCTGGCTATTGAGCGCTGAGGGGTGCCCTCAGGCAGCTTATCTTCCTAAGCCTGTTTGCTCAACATCCTGATGCTGACCAAGTGGCCAACAAAGGCCCCAGAGGGTTGCAGGGGCCAGCTGAGTGCAATGTTTCGGCTCACAAGGCCCCTAGAGAATTGCTTCAGGAAAGGTGAGAAAGCAGCAGGCAGCTGTGCAGCAAGATCCTATGGGCATCATTTCTGCCTGCTCCCACTGCCTGTGCTCTCTCCCTCCTGTGAGGCTGTGCATGTGGATCCTGCTCATGCTTTGCTGTCACCACAGTGGATTCTCCCCGAGCAGCTGTGCCCATAGAGACACTCTGTCTTGGTTCTTCTCACAGCTGGTGGTAGTGAGATGCCACCTAATTGGAGCAGATACCTCAATATGGCCCCAAGGCTGGAGTAACAGATAAGAGACAAATGTCATCAGCTGTTGGCCTAGGCAGTTTGCAGGGGAAGTGGAGAAGACCCTGTTCTCCCTCTCCTCAGCATTTGGAGAGCAAGGAAGGGCTCAAAGGCTGACGCCAAAGAGAGAAGCCCCTAGAGGGATGTCACTACTGACATCTCACTTGCTTCCTCGCCCCCTTCTCAGTGCTGATCATTTCTGTGTGTATAAACACACCCTGTACTGCTCAGCAGTTCTGCTCCCAGCTGTGGGAATAGGGAGGATCCCGCTCATCCTAATTTTGGAGTATCCTTCATGCTAAGAGTGTGTCAGGGTGGTTCCTCAGGTGGACCAGCTGAGCTAGGAGTTCCCATCTCTCCCCATTTCCCTTTTAGCAGCTTTCAGAGTCCCAGAGCATGAGGAGTTAAGGGAAGTAGGGGCTGGTGGGCACCTGGAAGTGGAAGAGGTGTGTGTAGAGAAGCTGTGGGTGAGCAGGCCACCTCCATGCTGCTCCTGCTCACCAGTGTGCTCAGAGCTGGCTCTTGATGTCCCTCAGTACTCCATCGCTGGAGACGACTCGGTCACAGAGGGGGTGACGGACTTGGTGCGAGGGACGCTGTGCCCAGCCTTGAAGTCCATATTTGAACATGGACTGAAGAAGCCGTCTCTGCTGGGGGGTCCCTGCCATCCCTGGCTGTTCATTGAAGAGGTGAGATGCCTCCATTCCCTTTGTGGGGCGGCGTTGCCAGAGGGCTGGGGTGAGGGGGCTGTAGGGCAGCGTGCACTGACTGTCCCTCTGCCCTCCTAGGCTGCAGGCCGGGAAGTGGAGCGGGACTTTGACTCCGTGTACTCTCGCCTTGTGCTCTGCAAGACTTACAGGTAAGGCCACTTCATACATACGAAGCAGCTGGCTCTGCGCCCTGCTCCTGCATCCCCATCAAGCTGCTGCTGCTGCTCTCCACCTCGGGAAGGGTCATGGTCTGCCCCATCCTCATGTCGGTGTGGTGTCAGCGGGCTGCTGTGCCTGTGCTGACTCGGGGCTGGCAGTGGCTCTTGCCCCATTCCTCGTGCCCCTGTATTTGCTCCTGGGGCTGTATCTCACCCTCTCATGGCTGCAGGATCACCTGTGGGCTCAGCAGTAGCAAGGGAATTGCTGGGATATGGAGAGGGAAAGGCCTACATGAGCCCAGGGCAGGCTCCAGACCTCACCAGCTCTCTGCTCTGATCTTTGCAGGCTTGATGAAGATGGCAAAGTCCTCACTCCAGAGGAGCTGCTTTACCGGGTGAGTGCTGCCCCCAGCCCAGCCAGAGCCCAGCTCCTACCGTGAGGAAGTCTCCCATGGAGGCTGCTGGAGGGGGATGCACTTCTCTGAGGAGATGCTCGAGGGTCTCCCAGACCTTCCCTGATGGGAAGCAGTAGGGACACCAGGTGCCTGGGGAACAGCAGAAAGTGAAGCCATCGGGAAGGCTTGGCCCCTCTGATGCTTGCAGGGGACACTGGGTGAGGGTGGGGAGCTCTGGGGAGGGGAGCATTTGGCTGTGTTGTTAAAGTGGCTGCCCAGTCTCAGGATAAGCTGAGAAGCCAGCAACCACCTCTTCCCACCCTGCAGGCGGTTCAGGCTGTGAATGTGACCCACGACGCTGCACACGTACAGATGGACGTGAAACTTCGTTCCCTCATCTGCGTTGGACTCAAGTGAGTTATCCGGTCCTGATACCCCCAGGCAGAGTGGGGGGTGCAAGGAGCTTGGGAGGGGGCAAAGGGGGCTCAAGGGCAGCAGCTGTTTCAATCTGTCTTAGGCCACGGGGTCTTTTTCTGCCTCTCGCTGCAGACACTGAGTGGGACCTGCTCCTTTTGGCTGGCCTGGCTCCTGGCTGGTAGAAGTAGCTCTCATTGCATGGAGTGGCTCACACAAGTTTACTGGGGACAGGGCTGTGGGCTGGGGTCAAGCTGGGGTTTCCAGCTGGGGGTGGAAACAGACTGTCCAAGAGGGATAGGGCTTCTTTCCCTGGTGTCAGCCAAGTAAAACGCCTCTACCCCACGGCTGCAGCGAGCAGGTGCTGCATTTGTGGCTGGAGGTGCTGTGCTCAAGCCTGCAGACCGTGGAGAAGTGGTTCCATCCCTGGTCGTTCCTGCGTAGTCCCGGCTGGGTGCAGATCAAATGTGAGCTGAGGTGAGTGCACCGTGGGCCTGCCAAGGGTCAGGAGTGGATTTCTTCCTCCCCTGCAGGAGGTGGCTCTCACTGTGGCTGGCTTTGGGCCCTCTCCAGTGAGTAGCAGCGTGGGCTGCGCAGACATCGCGCTCCAGAGATTTTCTTCTGTGTGCTGAGGCAGCAGCAACTGTCCAGACAGTTTAACGCGGTGTCAGACTGTGCCTGCCTAATTCGAGAGCAGAGCTTAGCTCCTTCGGAGCTGTCATGACAGGCATAGACAGACCCTGCCTGCCAGCAGCCTCCTGCTGCGCCCTGCACCTACTCTGATGGAGAGGCTGCCTTTTCCAAACCCCTGCTCTCCAGGTCCTCTGCCAGCCCCCGTGAGTCCAAGCAGGGAGCAGGGAATGTGCTAGGGAGGCAGCATCACTGTTACCAGCTGGCTCCTGGTTAGGTGAGGGAGGCGGTCTCAGGGGCTGAAGGTGGCTTCAGTGCCTGAGCTTGCACAAAGCACCTCTCTTGGAGCCCTTCTGCACTCTGCAAAGCAGTATCCAGTCCCAGGGAGCTGCAGAGCAAACCCCTCAGGCCAGCACCACCACTCCAGCCCTGTTGCTGCTGCTGTCCTGCAGGACCAAGTGGGACTGGTTCATGTCTGGGTTTGTGTGCAGGAGTGGAGGCTTACGCTGTATGTCTCCAAGCTGGCTTCCTGTGGAGGGCCTCAGCTCCCCCAGTGCTCCAGGAGTTGGAGGAGCCACCGACACAGGCATTTTCCCTGAGCCTGAAGGACTGACACTTGCTGCCAGGAGCTCTGAGCTCTGCCTCCCTGTCCTAGGGACAGGGTTGAGGCTGTGCCTGCAGCCTCTGCAGGTCCTCAGTTCTATGAGGGAGCTCTGTGCCATCCCCGTGTGGCACTTGTGCCTGGGGTACAGGACACTTTTACTCCAAGGAGGTGATAGGGGAGGGTGCAGAAGCTCTAAGGTGCCACTGGCAGGGGTCTGCCTTCTGGAGAAGAACCTGCAGTCCCTTCCCCTTTGCCAGCTGCATTCAGCCCTCAGCCACCGTGTCTGCAGTCTGGCAGAGACGGGGTTGCTCTGTAGGGGTTGCACTTGAGCCACATCTTCAAGCTTCCCTTCCTAGCCTGAGCCTGGCAGGATGGGAAGCCCAGAGGAGAGGGGATCAGGGCAGGCACAGCTGGTGCTGCCCTTTCAACGCTGACAGACAGGGTTTTCCATCCTTGGGAGCTTAGTGGCGTGCTGGGGCGCCCATGCAGTTGTGTGCCTGGGGCAGCAGTTGTGGGCACAGGCAGGGAGTGTGATTTGAGGGGATGTGTATGTGTGTTGCCATCACTGTCTTCCATTGCAGAGTCCTCTGCAAATTTGCCTTCAGCCTCTCTCAGGACTGGGAGCTGCCAATAAAGAGGGAGGTGAGTAGGTGGCATCTCATCCTCTCCCTCAGCCACAGGCTTCGCTTGCTGCCTCCCCCTCCCAACTTTGTGCTCCAGCCCATCCTCTTCCTCCTCTTGAGCCCGCACCAGAGGCTGTGGATGTGGCTCTGTCCCCACCAGGGTGAGCTGTGCACAGGCACCGTGCGGCGGTGCTGGCAGAGGGGCTGGGGGAAGTTGCAGACCTCTCCCTTCCCTGGTGCTCTCCAAACCGCAGGGCCTCTCAGCTGCGCAGAGGTGGGCAGTGCAGGAGGGTGCTCTGTCTGGGTGCTCTGCCTCGGTGTGCTTGGGCTCTGCCCGCAGAGGCAACCTCCCCTTTTCTGAGTGTGTGCACTGACCCACGTCTCTGTGTCGTCCTGCAGGAGAAGGAGAAAAAGCCGCTGAAGGAAGGGGTGCAGGACATGCTCGTGAAGCACCATCTCTTCAGCTGGGACATAGATGGGTGACCCCCACTGTGCCCCATCCTGGGGAACCTTCTCAATGGCACACACTCTTCTCCCCCACTTCCATCATGTCTCACCCCCTGCCCTCCCCCACCCCACCCCCTTGTATCTGTGACAAAATCCCCCTCGGGGGGGCTGCCAGGCCACCTGGGACAGATGGCGGCAGTGCCAAGAGGCCAAGCTGCAGAGCTGGGGGAGGTGGTGGTGGAGGGTGATGCTGCAAAGGGACAAGCGTGTTCTGGCCACGAAAACAAGTGTCCCCTCACAGCCTTCCCCATCTCTGCTACCCCCTTCTTCTGCTCGCCTCCCCCTGACCAGTGCCTGGGGGAGCAGCCTGGCCCGCAGCCCGTCGTGCGCTGCCCTTTGGGCCAGGGGCTGCATGGGTGTGTGAGTGCGTCCGCTGCTGTAGCAGTGGGGACGAGGTGGCCCTTGTGGGGTGGCTTTGATCCGTGAACGCTGGTGGCACTGCAGGTGCAAGCGGACTCAGGCTGGTGAGAAACTCACCACCACACGGGAGCAGGGATAGTGCGTCCCCTTTGTGCCAGCCAGGGGCTCGCCTCGGTTGGGGAGAGGGGTGGCAAAATGTGAAGCACTGGGACAAGCTCCCCTGACCTGGAGCTGGGGATGAGGAGGGGGAACCGGCATCAGCCTCATCCCCCCCTCCCTGGTGCTGGCGTGTGGGGTGGTGACAGCGGTGCCCGACTGCACTGGGCTGTTACCGCTGTAGGGGCTGGGCCTTGTCTCCTCTGGGAGCAGACAAAACCCACCTCTCCCCTAAAGAAGTGTTTCATGCTGTCATTTTAGTCTTTAGATTATTTTTACTGTTAACCAAAAAGCTGTAAATCAACTCCAGGACCGTGTATATTTTGGCACTGTTGTAGCTCAGGACGGGGTTCAGGTTGGAGCTGGCTCAGGGAGACTTAACGTGTGCTCCTCGCCCTGCGGTGGCAGCAGGGCCGCAGGTCAGGAGCGGAGAATTGCTGCGTTGTGGTGGTGGCTCTGGATATGGAGTCTGTGACTTTCTACTGAAAGCGCTTGCCTGTGAGCACAAACTACTCGTGAAATGACACTAGATTCTTACTTTCCTTTATTGGTGGGTTTGTAAATAAATGGCATCTTGGGAGAGTGCTGGGCTTTGGCTTTGCTTTTTTGACAGGGCCAGGGCTGGATTTAATTCTTTATTTCTACCATTTGGTAATTATGACCCTGTTTCTGTGCTGGCTCCTGCTAGCGTTGAGCTGGGGTCTCTGCTCAACCTGTGCTGGCATTGTGGGGCCTCCTCACAGTGGCTCCGGATCAGACTGGGCCCAAAGGGCAGGGGGCAGCCGGAGCAGGAGCAGCTGTGGTGCTGGCAGTGGCAGCCCCTGCCTTGTGCCTCTGCTGCCTCTCCTCCCCAGAGCAGCCAGAGGCCCTGAAAAGCAAGAAATGCCCCAAATGAAGGGATGTCGGGGCACTGCCAGGCCAGAGGCGCTGGCAGAAAGCAGGGCTGGACAGTGGTGGGTAGCAGTGTTGGCTGCACATAAGCATCTCTGAAAAAGCAGGTGGAGTCTTGTTTGCAAAATGGGACAGTAACAGGGCACGTGCTCCAGGAAAAGCACGTCCAGCAGCCTGAGCTGATGGGCAGGTGGTAGTTGCAGTGTGTTTACTGATGTGAAAAAAATGGGTGTTTTCAGTCAAAGTCATCCCAGTCTGGTGCCTGGCTGAGGGAGGCTGCAGTGTCACCTCGCCACTGGACCCGCTGGGCTGTGGGAGGCTGTAAAAGCTGCCCGTGCTTCTCCAAGTGCAACCTCTGCTGCTGGTTGCAGGGGCGGTAATTTCCAGAGCCAGAGGGAATCTCCCTGCAGCCGAGGAGGGACAAGGCGCCACTGCTCAAGTTGCTTTTTTTTCAGGGTCGAGAAAGACCCAGAGGGATCCCTGACCCTTAGCTGGAAAAGGCGGAGCGGCCCCAAGCCCTCCCACCACCACAGCAGAGAAGTTTCTGAACACGTGGCTGCTTGGAATTTTTTTTAATAAAATGGATTTTTTTTTTCAAATATTCATAACTGAAAAAATAATTCAATTTAAAGATCCATTCTCTCCCCTGTTAAGTTGTCACTCGTATCCTTTTCCAGTTGAATACTCGCTCTGGATCCGATGCCTCGCCACCATCCATCTCCGAGGGTGCTGATCGCCCCTTGCCCTTTGCTGCATAGTGGGAGGGAGAGTGCGTGCTCGTCAAATACACGGTACAAACAAGTAGTGGTTACAGCAGAAAGATTCAGGATTACATTCAAGGTAGAGGCAGAACATCAGACTTTGTTGGTTTTTGTTTTGTTTTTTTTTTTCCCAGTGGGTGCAAAAATGTACGTCCAGGGGAATACCTCTTCCACAAAGAACTATTGAACTATTATTCAAAGCAAATAATAGTAAGAAAGCAGAACTGGGCTTGCCTGCTCTGGGCACTGCCTGGGGAAGACTTTCTGGCATGTCCCAGGATGAGGCACCATCTTTCCCGCTGCCCCCAGGCACAGGGTTAGTGCTTGCACCCCTGGCAGAAGCTACCCCAAGTCCCAGGTGTGAGCTCAGCCTCTTCCCATCAGCCCAGGACCAGGCCTTGGCATCTCTGCCAACAGCTGCCATGGTGCCTGGCCCCATGGGAGGAGCCATGGCCGGGTCAGGCCAGGACTGCAGGTGGGGCACCCCCCCCTTCTTGTAGGAGCTCATCGCACTTTGATAAGTTTCTTCTTTCTTTACTGGGTGCAGCTTTGTAATCATTTGCACAAAAGAAATCACAGAGTTGGTTTTGTTGGGGCTACTGCTCGCTGGTTTGGCTTGAGTTTGACAAACAGGCAGCCTCGCTTTCTCTCCTTAGCAACTGAAAGATGCTCCCACCCTCCACGTAGTTTCCTTTAAGAAAGCTCTTGCCTCCTGTGCCCACCTGGTCCCACGGCTGGGCCACTGCCCTGGGGTGAGCTCTCTAAGGTGGCTGCTACTGCACGCACTGTTCGGCACAGCCAGCACAATGAAGCAGGGTGCACTGGAGGGGAGGCAGGGAGGGAAGGGTTCAGTGGGATGAAGGGAGTGTCCACCAGTCCCTATTATTCTGATTTTTTTTTTAAGCTATGATGCTGTAGTTTGGGCAATGGAAAGCAGGTGTGGTTGAGGGGTAGGAGGGGTGACCTCTCACTCCAACTTAGGCACTGAGGGAGGTGCGTAAGAAGCTCTGACGTCTTTACAGCTGGGAGTGGGAGAGTGCAGAGAAGGGGCTGAAAAGAAGGAAGCTGCCAGCAGGCTCACCCTGCAAATGATTCAGAAAGTGGCTCCCTGTGCAGTTACCAAGCAAATAGGGCTCAGGAAAGCAGGAGTTTGTCCCAGCTGCAAAACAGGCCATGCCCCTACCTGGCCACCAGTTCAGTGGCTGCCAGAGAGCAGTCACACAGGGGCAGCACCTTAGGCTGTGGGCTTTCAAAAAAAAAAACACAACCCCAAAAACCACTGCCTCCCCCATCTCCCTCGAGCAGCCCAGACCCAGCTCTGGGCCAAAGCAGGGTGAGCTGTGCAGCACAGCAGCTGCGTGGGGTACAGCAAAGCTCTGTCTCACCTGGTAAATATGGAGGTGAGTTGCTGCTAACAAAGATGGGAATTTAAAAGTGCCAGGAGTAACAGCAGAGCCAGAGCCACACGGGCCTGGGGTTCCAATGCAAAACCTTGCACATGGCACGGCTGCCTGAACTCAGCGCTCACAGTAAGTAGCCATTTGATTTTTTTGCCTTTTCCCCTACAGGCCTGGAGAGAAGGAGGAGCAGAGGTTTCTCTGCAGCAGAGGTTCAGCTGCCCGTTATTTGCTTTCAGGCTCCCACTTCTCCCCTGAAAGGGGGAACAGCCACACTACTGCGCTAGGACCCAGGTTGCAGAGCTGCTTCCCCTTCCTTGCCCGCTGGCTCTGACAGCCCCAGCTGCCGCTTTCCCATGGGGCACCTGCTACAGGGAGGCACCAGCACAGCTGAGGCAGGAGATTGCACATGGCCCCTCATGATATGTTGCTCATTGCTGGCTGTGCCCCTTGCACGCTCCTCGGGACATGCGGACGCTTTCTGTCCCTAACCCCCACCATGAGCCAACTGCCTTGCTCAGGGTGGGGGGATCACAAGTGCTGTGGAAGCTGCATGGGAGAGGGGAGTCCCTGAAGGCTCTACTTCAGGCACAGCCAGACGTCTGGGGCAGCAGAGGACCGATTGAACATTAAAAACACCTGGATTTTAGCACCTTAAAAATGTGTTTTGCAGCCCAAAGTAAGCGAAGCAAGCAGGCAGGCCTCTGCAAAGCTCAGCAATATTTGGGAAACCAGCTCAGACATTACCAGGTTGGTGGGGAACCCCAATTCCCTTTGGCTACATTTGGAAAAAGTGCCTATTCTGCCCTGCTCCTCCCAGCCCTGCAGCAGACCAGCTCCTCGCGGCAGAGGGCAGGTGGGGCAGAGGGCAGACTGCGTCCCCCCAGCCCCCAGTCCTGCCTTTGTGTCCTGCTCCAGAGCCAGAATCCCCTTCTGCAACCGTTGCACCCACTGTGCTGGGGCAGCACAAGCCCCCTTTATTTGCCAGTCCCAGCGAGGCTCAGGGTGCTGCTTCTGGAAGAGGCTCAGGCCCAGTCCTGCTTTGTCCTGCTGCGAGGCGTGAGGGAGCTCATCCCCTGCACTGCCGTCGCTCTGCCCCTGCCTGGAGGAGGAGGGGCTGCCAGCTCCATTCTCACCCGAGCAGGGGCAGGAGAGCACCAGCCCCAGAGCTCTTGGAGCCTCCTCTTCCTCCCCAGCAGCCGTTCTCCCTGCCCTGGCCTGGCCCCCTGCCCAGGCAGCAGTGACTCCAGCAGCAGGTCTGGCATTGCCACCACTGCCAGCTTCGTGCAGGAAGGACACTGTTGGAGGAGGAGTACAAATACTAGGAGCTCGTTTCTTTTTCTTTTTTTTTGGTTGACTGGCCTCTTCCCCCTGCATGCCCATGCCCTCCCACTCCCATTCCCTTCAGTCT